TGAATTAGCCATGGATTTACATGTATTCCCCATCCCAGTCCCCCCTCCCACCTCCCTCTCCACCCGATCCCTCTGGGTCTTCCCAGTGCACCAGGCCCGAGCACTTGGGAAGACAACCTTTCTAACAGGACCAATCTTCTTAGTACAAATGTAATACATATAACATTGTTATATGTACATAGAAGTATATATGTTATATGTCACATAGAAGTAACAATGCTACCTAGCAGTGTATTCTGGATTAACGAAATACAGCTTCCACGTAGTTCTTTCCCTCAGATATGAGAAGGGAGGACACTATTCTAAAGATATGTAGGTTGTCCACTCCCTTTCCATTCCTTAATGCACACTTCTGAGTCTGCAGAGCCTCATTCATGCTGGTCCGGAAAGGACAGGGCCCAAGGGCCACTGATGATGTCACTGAGTGATTCTTGCTCAGATCTTTGTCGAGGGCCGAAGGGGATGCCCCTCGGGGGCAAAGCTTAAAGGGAGTGTGGACCTTACCTTGTTCCTTGGAACTAGTTCAGGTAAAAAACCCAGCTAAAGGTGGTGTCTTGAGGCTTGCTGACAGTTTCTGTCCTTAGAGGTAACACTCTGGTACCTTTTGATGACAACAATGAGAGTAAATAGAAATGTATACACCACACATCAAAAAAGAACTCCTTATTTGGTAAATATGTCTCAAATTTGTAAACAGTCAGGTTTGCCCATGGGAATATCTGTATAGCCTATAGTCCTGCTGAGAAACAATGTGATATACCCACATCAGTCTATTAATATCTTCTGGATACTTTTTTTCTGCAGGAGATCAAACATCCTGATCAAAAGAGATGTGTGTAATGATTGGGGTCATGTAGGCAATTCCAATGTGCCAAAAAGGTGCCATATTCCAAAGATATTCCCAAACCAAGTAGTACTTTTAAAAGTAAGATAGCTTCTTTAACAGACAGTCCTTGTATTTCGGTGGCTTTTTGCAAGCCTGGGTCCACCACGTGGAGGGGCGCAGTCTCTCCCTTCTGTCACTCAGGGCTGCCTTTCTTTGG